GTATTTATACTGCTAGTCCATGTTTCCCCCATTGCTTGGAGAGCCACTCAGACAGTAATTAATTTTACTTTTTGGTAATCCTGCCGGCTCTTGGGGGAAACATGGATTACCTTTTCAAATTTTCTGAATATTTTACTGTATTGTTATGATAAAAAAAGGCGAAATAAATGAAATGAAATGGTAATTGCGAAGAATGCAATTATCAGTAGCGAAAAAGGTATATTTCTTGAGCTTTACTATATTTTGATAGAGATGTACCTCAGACCTTCTTAGAAGAGAATAACGAAAAGATAAATAATAATAATAATAAAGACAATAATATATCAATGTTTAATGCTCAAAATTGCAAAAACAAATACAGTACTTTGAGGCAGCTTTATGGTATACAGTACAACTGTTACTTTGAGATGTGTTAAGATACAGTAATAATATTTAGGTCTGCTAGAATTAACAATTAACCAAACACTGTAAAATGCTTCAAAAAGTTAGCTTACTCTAAAACAGACACTGAATTAACAATCACTGGTAATTACAATGCAGATATCTGGTTAATTAACCTTTTATATTATATAACTATTTTATAGAATGCAATAATTGATATTATGAGTTAAGATATGCCATTAACCCTTCAAAGCTTTCATCATAAACCACTTCTTTACAGTGACATGGAAATGTGCGACAGAAATGATCACCACAATCCCTACAGTGCTTCTGGCGGTAGTCACCAATACATCTGCCGAAGTCCGGACAAACAGTGCAATGGTTGTGCGATTTTCCGCAGTCAATTTCCACAGAACCAAAGCACATGCCTGTCACATAGACACCAACTATTTCACAGTCTTCATTCGGACATTTTATAGTTGCACTTACACTACCATCCTCAAAATCATGTCCGGCATAATCTGGTTGGTAGAGGAGGTCACGGATGGTCACTGTTATTTTATGATCACAAAGGCAGCACTCATCGGAAATGACAACATTGTTCAAAGGATCATCACCATTGATCTTAATGAAGCCGTTCTGGATTCCTGCACAGAGGCACTTGCTGACTCCTTTGATGTTGGTGACACCTTGGTTCTCAAGCCATTCGTTAACAGCCTTAAACGACATTCTGTTTGGGTCCTCAAAGCCACAAAGACGAAGAACCATCTCATGTTTAGTACCAGTGTTCTTCAAGCTGCCATCTTGACATTTTTTTTTTAACTCACTCGCTGATAGCTTCTGAAGAGATTTATATTTTTCCATCGACATCTTGCTACAGTATATGTACAATTTTCTGAAAATAAAACAATAAATAATGACAAGTTAGAATATAATTTGTGTAGAAAATAATGATTTTTGGTTTCTTCCTCCTGTAGCGCCTTGAGCACTACTGCAGTAGATATGTGTGTTTTATAAGTTTTATTATTTATTTATTTAAATAAAGATGAAAATAACATCTGAAGTACAGCAGATGGTAATAAGAGGCTGGTATTGTAAGATCCATTTTAAATTTTTTGTACGCTTATTATTTTCGAGAACTAATACCAAAAAACTTTAAACCAGACACATACAATGCTATGTCAGTGATCAACGACAGCGGCATCGCTAAGAGTCATGAAATGGGGCATGGGAACGAAGATGCAATGGGTGCCTCAATGATTAAGAGAGGGGGGCGCCAGGTGGCAAAATATGGTTATACAATTTACAATTTCTCTTTATTTTTCAGACAATGTCCATTAACAAAAATACAAAGCAAATGAGATTGAAATAGAAAAAACTATATGCAGATAAATATACTGTACACAATTCGATACCACAAAGGCACTTGTCTCAGGCTTTAATATAAACTCACAGATGCAGCAAAAACAATAAGCATGCTTATTTCAATGTTTTCAATAAATAATCTTCATGTAAAATAATTCCATTTTAATAGCATCTTTGAATTTTCAATAAGATGATTAACAGTGGACTTTATAATATCAGACTGTTTTCTGATAAAGTTGGCACATAATTCCATGTTATATGAATTGATTTTTTGAACATGATTTTTTGCTTTGGACATTTTGTAAATGGGAAAAGAACTAAAGGGGGTGACTAGGGTCCAAACACAGAATAAAACATCAAGATGTGTTGACTGATTATAAAAAGAATCATTTGATATAAAAATGATATTTCATATCAATCATGTCCATGATTACTTGCAGGAAAAATATTACCATTTAAGGCAAAGTAGGATTCTGTTTGAAAAAAATACAATGTTTTTAATTATTTTAGAAAGTGAACAATTTATATTTTTGCTCTCTTTGATGAGAATACTGAAAATCGCATTTATTTTTAGATAATAACAAAAAGTGAAAAGAAATTCTCATGCAGGCAAAAATAATAGATAATAGCACTCACAAGTCTCAGGTTGGTTGAGCGACTGAACAGCAGAATGCTAAATGTCTAGGTAAAAGCCTAGCCTAGAGAGAAGATGATCATATTATTCACACATCTCATTTCAGTTTTGCAATAGGCGCTGTATACAAGTAAGGCATTTTGGTTGGGACTTGACTCAACTTCCAGTTTTATTATGAACTTAACGAATATCGCAAATGTAACGGCACAAACATAATGTGGCAAGAACGTAACACGAACGTCTTTAGGTGAGACCAACATGGGACGCGACCGGAGATAAAAGGCGCATCCGACGACACAAAGCACAACTGATGACATGGGGCAGGAATGAAGCGATGCAAAAAAAGAAACAATGCAGAAACAAAAATGAGGCATGAATGAAGCAAGGCGCGAACGTATATAACAGCTTAGATCTATCCATAGGGGGGAAACTAAAACAATGAAGAGGGTTAAAAACAGTACCTTAAGGCGAAAGTAGCGTCGCTAAGGGGAAACTTAAACGACGTTAAGGCAAAATTATAGACAAAAGAGTTCCCCCTTAAGAGCTGAATAAAAGTAGTATATATATATATATATATATATTATAATATAATAATAGAAAGGCATGTCAAGTGTGTGAATTTACTCTACAGCTGTTTCATGCAGTAGCAATCTTCAGGAGTGAGTGGATAGGAAGATAATGGAGGTATATATGAGGTTCAGCATGTGTATATGCTAATTGTGTTACGTCTTCTTGAGTAGGAATTTGTTTCAGTGTCTGCATTTTGAAAGCAGCTCTGTTCTTTTGTTTAAAGTTGATAGTTTGTTTGAATAAATTATGTGAAATTTCTCTGTAAGGCAGAGATTGCAGCATTTTGTTTGTGTATTGTATGGTGTAGCTTTTTTGTAGGCCTATGTGACATGTCAACAAATTTAGGAAATACAAAATAGCCCAATTTTTCTAAAAAGAAAATATGTTATTTTTAAATGTTTTAATCAAATTGGTGAATATATACAGTAAGAAAATATTTTTTTTTTTTAAATTGGTGATGATGCATTTTATTTTTGATGCATCCACAATGAAATGGAAAGTCACTGACTTAAACGTATGTCAAGAATTTGTTCGTCCGTTACAATACAAGGGATAGGATTTGTAGTGTATTAAAATACAACTTTATAGATCAGGTAGCAGCCTCACATGATATATTCTATCTCTAGGCCTAGGCCTTTCAGACTACATAGGCTGCCAAAGTTTGGATGTTCCGCATAGGCTTGCTCTAGGCCAAGGTATAAATAGCCTAGATAGGCCTCCATGGCCTAGCCTACCGCCTAGATAGGCCTAGCCTATAAATAGTACATAAATAAACAGTGTGCTTGCAATGCATGCAGATCACTAAACGACAAATCAGGGAGTTGTTATAACAACTCACTCTCTGGACAAATGAACGAATATCAAAAACATTAAAACAAAAGAACACTAGACTAGGCCTATCTATAGAGATGTTTAGAAAATAGGATGCCGCCGACCGTCGACAATACAATACCGTTATTTATTGAAGATTGAGTAAATAAACCAAGTAAAGGAGGGTATAAAATAAACAGACTTTCTTCAGATTCTCAAATGCGGGAAGAAGCGTCTCAACTACGATACGACCTACGACGTACAGACAGTAATTTTAAAGAAAAAAGATTCGGCGCGAAAATATGGAGCGCAATTAGTGCATATAATAATAGCAAAGATTTATCATCATTGGTAGTGTACCAAAGATCAAATTTATTAGAACTCTTGTATTCTGGGGCGGATGCAGGTAGGGAGGGTGGGTGCAGAGGTAAGATTTTACCCGCCCCTCTCCCTCTAAAATTTATTAAGAAAAATAATTCTTTTGTGTATTGTTGAAACATAGGCGCCGGTTTACCGGTAAAGAATTCTTAAAGAATGATGAGTGCAATTTCCTGGCACCATGAGGTTCATTTTCTCCAAATTTTCTCTCACGCATTCAATTTTTTTCCGTAGGTAAGTTTGATAAAATATCATGGTTCATAACTCTACTCATGGACTTCATTTTGCGCGCATGCGCTGCTTTTTGTGTCCTATAGTCAGTCTGTGATATCAGCTGCTCTGTACATTATCGCGATAGGATAGGAGTTTTCAGCCCTTGTAATATGATGGGCCTTGTATTTGAAGCAATGAAAAAATGATTGAATTGACTCAGTTGATTCTGAATTTTAATACATTGCCTCAATTTACTATCTGGAACTCAAAATTACGTGATGATAAACATCAGACAGAAAGAGGTGCGCACATGATATGTACGGAAGCAAAACTGATTGAGCGTCCTGCAGCGGCGCTATTTGACGACTTTATTATTCGAAAAGGGTACCGGTATATAAAAATGCACTTCATTAAACGATCAATTACTCGTGAACATTATTAAAGATAAATTCCCAATCTATTCATAACACTGTAAAAATAACATAAGTCCAATATATTTATTGAATTTTAACAAGCCTTGATTGATACAACACGGAACCATATTTTCATCAGTTCACAAAATGAAACGCTCCCGGATACCTGGGGCGGCAGAGGCTGTGAGCTCGGTCAGTTTTCTTCTTGGAGCCTATGAAAAAATGCAAAAATGACGGAAGAAAATTTTATCCAATGAGATTATTTTCAATATATTGTATAGGCCTAACTGATTGTAAGAAAATTGTCTTTCTGTTGCCGTTTCAACTTTAGCAAATGGATTGGTAGGCCTACAGGCAAAATTATGACTTCGTAAATAGACGACTCCTCGTATACAGGCTTAAATCCCGCTGAAAACACGCTAATATCGCTTATATTTTCGTAATTCAACCCAAAAATGACGGAGCTAAATATTTGAAAACAAATATTTTGTAAATTGTGATTTAAACGGCGGCGCGTTTGCAGATGAGCAAACACATTGATATGTATTCTTTTCTTTTTTTCTTTTATGTTTTAATGTGTCATGATAAGACAATTTTTAATCCAAATAATGGTCCTGTTGTTTTGTATTCTCTATTAGATATTAGGCCTATTTGTTGTTTTCGACCATTGATGATATTGGCTTGACTCGACCTTAAATGAAATATTATATCGCCAAGCAAATTTAACAAGTCTTAAGCCCTACCCGGTACGTATTTAATTACTTTTAATATTATTGTATTGCAGCTATTAAAAAAGTTTAATACTATGTAATTAATTAAAAAATTTACAACATTTTCAGACAATTGATTTTTATAGATGTGTACTGTGTAATTAATTTTAAAAATGTACATTTTCAAACAATTGATTTTTATAGATGTGTATACATCTCGTATCACTTTTAATTGATCTAACTATAGGCCTATATTTTTGGGTCAGGATGAGCTAGACAAGTTTTGACAAAGGTTCGACCATTGTTCGAATAAATATTGATTAAAGGAAATATTTTACCAGCTAATAAATTTAACAAGGCTTACGTATAATGACTTTTATAATTGGTGTATTGCAGCTATTAAAAAAAGTCTAATAATGTGTAATTAATTACAAAATTTTACGATTTTTCAAACAACAGATTTATATAGATATTTATATTAACTTCCTGCATATTTCTATTAAATGGATTATTGGCATGCCGGGAAGACCGAGGCTGTCTCTTATACCCATCTAGATGTGTATAAGAGACAGCCGAGATTCACGTCAGACCAATTAAGAATGATGTTAAGGTCACTTTGTAGGGAAACAACGAAATAAATTTCTTATTGGCTTTCGATTTGTGCGATGACGAGACGCTAGAACGGAATCACTCATGCGTGACCGTCCTACCTGGCGTCCAACGAAGCCTGGGGTCCTACGTTCTCTGCGTACGTAGATTTAGCCAAATTGCGCAGAATCTTGTCGACGAGGTGACCTAAACCATCTCGCATGCTCAGTCAGATCATAGAGAAAATAGAACTATTTTCTCTATGGTCAGATGAATTTTACTGACGTCATTACGTTCTACGTCCTACCGTCGTCGTGCAATCGAAAGCTCTCTATTGGTCTAAAAATTACTGTGCGATGATAAAGTGCGTTCTCCCTAGATACACTTTTTTTTTTTTTTTTTTTTTATAAGAACACATTTTATAAGAACACTGAGGCTGAAATTGCTTAAAATTTAAGAACTAAATAAGAACAAATTGAGGCAGAGGTCAATTGTGAAATAAGGTTTTCATTTAAAAAAAAGAAAATCAAAAAAATCTCATCTGTACCTTATTTTCAGGTGTGACTATGTAATACCCTCTATAATACAGTACAGTAATATACTAAGTAAAACAATAATTCTCTTATAAGAACAAAATAAGAACAATTTGAGCCTGAAATCGGTCAAAAAATAAAAACACTGAGCCTGGGCAACATTTTACTGGTTCTGATATAGAGTTGCTTATCCAAAATTTAGGCTGATATTGCACTTTGTGACAAAAGCACCACATTTGACATAAACCGTCTTTAAGGTCCAACTAATAATCTTAAAAGGGGTGCCAAAAATTCCGAACAATCTGATGGCGTCATTTAGGCCATTTTTTACATATATACATACTATATAAATATGTAAAAATAAAGGGTTCATATAAACATATCAAGTTTTGTATCAAATTGAAGCTCATAATGTGGCCATTATACACTTAAAATGTATTGTGAGGTGTCTATATGCCAATAAAGGTAATTTAAGCCGCACCCATTTTCTATATATTATGTAAAATGTATGTGACATTTAAATAAAAATCATACTAACATAGCAAATTTTATATCAAATTAAAGCTCAATACATGGACATAACTCAATCACATATTAAAAAACTATCATGTCTGTGTATTTCTGCACACGATGCCGTAAAAACTGTTCTAAAAGGTTTGGATGTAGCTTCGCCACACACGACCGGCCTATGCTACTGCCCAGGTTATCGACTTGCGTCGGTCGGTTTTGATATCGTACTACTTAATATAGGACAACAAGCTATTTTTTTTTTTTGTATAATAGGGCTGATTTAGAAAAGACTCAACATTTATTTTGCCAAAATTGGCCCGGTTGGCCCACAGTTGGACTTAGGAAACACTAACTTACTTTGGCCTAAATTATGATGTCAGGATACACACAATTTTACTGGGGAAATTTTTATAAACAAGTAAGCTAAGCAGATGTGTATAAGAGACAGGCTTTTTGTGTCCTATAGTCAGTCTGTGATATCAGCTGCTCTGTACATTATCGCGATAGGATAGGAGTTTTCAGCCCTTGTAATATGATGGGCCTTGTATTTGAAGCAATGAAAAAATGATTGAATTGACTCAGCTGATTCTGAATTTTAATACATTGCCTCAATTTACTATCTGGAACTCAAAATTACGTGATGATAAACATCAGACAGAAAGAGGTGCGCACATGATATGTACGAAAGCAAAACTGATTGAGCGTCCTCAGCAGCGGCGCTATTTGACGACTTTATTATTCGAAAAGGGTACCGGTATATAAAAATGCACTTCATTAAACCATGGAGTTATAAAATAATTATAACTCTATGATTAAACGATCAATTACTCGTGAAAATTATTAAAGATAAATTCCCAATCTATTCATAACATTGTAAAAATAACATAAGTCCAATATATTTATTGAATTTTAACAAGCCTTGATTGATACAACACGAAACCATATTTTCATCAGTTCACAAAATGAAACGCTCCCGGATCCCTGTCTCTTATACACATCTAGATGTGTATAAGAGACAGCCCCATGCGTGGAGAGAGGACCTTATTTACTTTTCACAAAATAAAAATAACTAGCAAAGATAATTAAAAAACATGAAACCAAACACAATTTAAAATGCATAAATGACTAATAATAATTAATTCATGGGCTAACATCCTGTGATCCACCATGTTTTAAGAAAAACCCAGTAATTTCACAGTATTTATTCAAATAAACGACCTGCTTTGAACAAAGGCCCCGCGAATAAACGCCCCCATTCTCCCCCCCCCCCCACACCCAA